GTTATGTTATGCATTTCAAATGGAGCTCCAAAAATAGCCCAAGACAGCAATTAAATATTCATTATTTTAGCTGCAACAGTTGTGTTCGGGTTCAACACGTGAAGATACAATATTTTACTCAATTTATTTGATTGAAATAAATGCAAATATTTACAAACGTTTCATATAATCTACAGAGTTTTATTTGCCCATTTATTGCTTAATATTTGTGCATTTTTCAACATCTTTCATGTCTTTTTGCCACAATTTGTTGCATAATTCTTTCCGTTTAAAACATTTTCTTTGCGACAGCCACGTTACGTAAGATATAATAATTTAAATGATTTATTATGTTGATAAAACATTTATATTTATTTATTTCATCTAGCATTTTATTTGCCATATTATTGTTTAGCTTAAAATTATTTATGAATTTCTTAAAAATCGTTAGAAAAAATACGTCTATAATTGGCTACAATTTGTGTCTAAGTTTTTCTTATAGAACTTCTATCCGCAATTCCGCATAGAACAATCCCTTCCTATTTTGATACGAATAGCAATTTTATTTCGTGTTTATTTCCAAAGTCCGATTTGTTATTGCCGCTAAAAATGCGGAATTGTGTTGCTTTATGCCAACATGCAATTTCTGGTGATTTTTGCATTTAATAAAAATCATTGGAAATCATTAAGAATAAGTGCGCAGCTAAAAATAACGAGCTGGCCAAATACCAAAAGGGTGAAAAAAAAACCAGAGCACAGCCAACTATACACTAGCAACAAATTTGTAAATTTGTAAACTATGAATAAGTTAAAACAAAAAATTGCTTCGCACAGCAAGCCAGATTATGCCAATAAACCGCGGGGGGGGGAGGCGGTGCGGTGCGGTGCGGCAGATTTTGTGTGTATAGACAAGCTGCATGCCTAAGTGCCGATGCCGTTGGCAAGGGCAAAAAAAAATTGTATAAAAGAAATGGGAGAAAAAAAAATGTTGTTTACCTTTTCGCGGCATTCGCGGCGACAAAATGAAATCAAAACACGCGCCATTCGCTTAGTTCAAACACCTCGGGCAGCTCCTCAAGTTGTTGTTGTTGTTATGACCTTAGAGCACAAAGTTGCCAGCTTTGACGCACAGCTTGCCACGGCCCTGTCTCCTCCCCTGCCACCCCCCCCCCCTCCCTCCCTGCCTCATTGCCCGGTGTTATGCTAAATTTAAAGCATGTTGCGGCTGAGATTAGAATAAAGATGGGGCGCGTGTTGCGACTGGCTGTGCGACATGTTCGCTGTTGCGACTGGGGTCCGCACCCCTGCTACAAACACACACACGCAAACACGCACACACACACACACACACACGCACGTCTACAATCTAGCATCTGGCGTGGCATATCACACGCGTGCGCGCTTTAATTAGCTGCTGGGCGCAGGCGGGTACTTTTGTCTTGCGCGGGGGGTGCAGGCCCTGTGTTGCTTGCACATGTCAAATGCATTTCGTGGGCAAGTAATGTGTCAAACACACACACACACACACACACACACACACACACACACGCACAGCGAGTGTGTTTACTTTAGCTGTCCGCCCCATAGTGGCCCCAGCAATTTGTTGCTCTTGTTGTTGTTGTTATGTTTAGATTTTGCCGTTTCGGATTGTCGAAATGCTTAGCCAAATGTTGATAATTTGAAATTGCTCATTGCCGCAGATACGCATGCAAATCGAATGGCCCCAACACGGACCACAAATCAAACACAATTGCCCAAATGCCAAGTTCAAAATAACGCAAACATTCGCTGATCCGAGCAACTAGCTCCAAATTCTGCTTACAGATGTTTACAAAATACATTCAGTCGCATGGCAGAGAATTTGTATGTGCTAGATATAACAAACTTAAATGATGTCTAAGTATATGCAATTATTAACTATGTATTTCTTATTATGCATTTATTAAATAAACATTATGATAACAAAAAATCGCTAAGATTAATATATCATGTTTATTTGTTTGAATAAGTGTTTTAATTGTTTTTTCTTTGTTTACACTAGTTAGTTAGAAATTATGATAACATTTATAAAAAGCTTCTATGAGCCAAGACTTATATGAGAATAATGATTTTATTGCAATCTACAAAAATTTGTAAAGTGTTTTGCTTCTCATCTGGGTCTTCATATATATATATATTTTGTAGCAGAAAACAACCAATACATACATTTGTTAAGTAGTGTTGTAAATCTTCCCGAAAAAGAAAAGTGCTATGTAGTGTCAAAAATCGAACTGTTTATTTAAATATATAATTTTTTTAACACACTTTCTCTCAGGTTTCTGCGCTTCGTCATCTTTACTACACTCACATTTGAACGCTACTAAATCATTTGCACTTTTCAACACTGTTTCTCTTTGCTAACTATCGATAGATGCCAGTCACATCTCTAATCCGAATGGCTCATCAATGTCTGCTTGCTGCCTGTCCCGATGATGGAGGATTGTGGCGCAAATTAAATTTTTGCCGGGCAACCAGCTGCTAGCAAGCAACTGCTGCAGTTTCCATTGCCAAAGCCACAACCCAACCGACCGCCCCACCGCCCGCCCGCCTGTCACAACCACAACAGACACAAACAGAAAGCATTGACCACACACACACAAGCACACCAACACACACTCCAACACACATGACTCGCACTGCCGTAAGAATCTGAACTCAGCTTGATGTCTGCAAATGCATTTCATAGGTTTTTGGGTGTTCGAAAATGTCAGTTGAATCCCGAAAGCTAATGCATTTATCAAAATATTTTTGGTTGTGCACAAAAGGTGTGGCATTTGTGCATAAGTTAGTTATTGATGGCAGCCAAATGAATATCATTCGAGTGCATTCGAACAGCTCAAATCTGGCTCATGAGTGCCAAACATCCATTTCCAATCAACAATAGCTTCATCTACAGCAGATAATCAGCTCTCACACACGCACACTCACCCACACACACAGGCCAGAAATTTTTTTCTTTTTTTTTGATAACATTTTGTCCTTAACGGCAGACAGACGCAAAAAAAATGGAGGCTTCCCAAAGCCCGTCCGGATCGCATTGTAAAGCAGCCAAAATCAGAAACAGAATCAGAAATCAGAAATCGCAGCCGGATTCGGAGTTGCCGCTGTTGCAGTTTTGGCTTTGCCACAGCGTAGGTTAAATTGTCCATGAAGGATTTATTTGCTGGAAATGATGATTTATAAGTTCAGCAGCCAGTTGCATTTACAGCCAACACACACACACACACACACAAACACGCACACACTCGCACACACATACGCATCAAATCAGTCGAGTCTCTGTCCCGCTTTCTTTCTTTTTCTCTCTCTATCTCCCTCTCCCTCTCTCCGGCTTGGCGGATGCCTTTGGGCCAATTTCTTTTATTGTTTCTGGCCATTGACCTCGTTTCTGCAGTGGGTCACAGTTCAACACGACGGTGATGCTGCCGCTCTTCTCCTCCTTCCTCTTCTTCGCCAGAAATGGCTCAAGAAAAATGACTGGCATAAAACCAAAATTGAATTGAATTACGTTATGCTTTTAGCTGCAGGTGAAGATATCTCGATTTCATATACGCATTACTGAAAACTAAGCAAAAACTAGCTCCGAATGCGGCTGCCTCCTGTGGCACCTTCATAAATACCAGACAAAATCATTTTACCAGACTGCTAGAAGCCATCGGAAAATGCTGTGAAAGCCATTCCGACAATTTATTGAGCGATGTTGCAGCAAAATTATCGAAATGGAGAAATATATTAAGGTACTGAAAGAATGTGAAAAGGTTTGAACTTTTTCAGGCCGTGCTGAAGTTTTGAGCTTACAATTTCCATTATTCAAGCTGTTGAATAAAGTTAACTCAAACTTCAAGCTATAATGAAAATATATAACGATTCTACAAAATCTTCAAAAATTCAATTCCATAGATTTTAAATCGCCCCTGTTGTTAAATAATGGAACTAACGACTTTTCAAAACTTTTCCAAAAATTCAAACCAACAGGAAAATAGCTAAAAGCTTAAAGCACACAAGCAACTGCGTCTACAAATATCTTTAGCTTTTTTTGAGAACTTATAAGTTTGGCATTCCGAGCAAGCTTTCGTAGAGCTTTTACTTCAACTTAAATAACTTTTATCCATTATCCTGCAGTGAAAAACTTAAAATCGGATAACTTTATTTTGACACATTATTTTCAGGCTTAAAGCTTACTAGCTGCAAAAGCTAGTTTGGGTTCATAACTCTGCTAACAACAGTTTTCCCCTTATTAAATAGTTTTGACCTTAGAGATTTCCAAAAAAAGTATATTTCAAAAGCTGTGATACAATTGCTCCAGTACAGAAACCACATTTGAAAAAGTATTATCTTTCTTATGCACATACATTTATCATAAAAATAAGAGTCAAAAACAATTTAAAACAAATGTTCAATCGTATATAATTTTTAATTAAATAAATAGTTTAAAAGATAATGTGCGATCTGAAAATAAAAATTAATATACCAATCTATTAAATTGTTTATTGTATATTCTTTTTCACTGCGTACACAATTTATTTTTGTCTTTGCCTTTTCACAGCATGCTATATTTTTGTAAAATAAATATATATATATTAAATTTTGTTTATACTTTATTACAAAGTGCCCACTGTCACAGTGAACATTTCGAAAAAAGGGGCACCAGGCTCCAAATAACCCTGCTTTTGAACATAGAATAGTACCACTTAGTCCCTCATTTCTCCTCCGATAGCAAACTGGGAATTTTTCTTTTGCATTGCCCCACAGCAGCCGACGCTCGACAGAGTACACTGCGCTCGCCGCCGAAGCTAAACTGTAGTTTGCTCAACGGCCGTTTGGCGCTGTTGTGCACTATATTCGAACTCGACTGCTTCGTGTGCTTCGTGGCCAACGGTATATGCCCGAAACGGGCTGAAACGAAGGACTGAAATGTGCCAGCGCCCGTTTCTGGCCGCTTGAAGTGGCGATTTTTCGTGTCAGTTCACGTTCGATATTTGTGTTGTTTGGTCGCGGCAAACGGGGCGCACGAATCGCAGCAGCAGCGCAACGGAATCGAGCGACGCGTCGCGGTTTTAAATATATTCACAACAATGGGTGCGCGTGTGTGTGTGTATCGGCGTGCGTGTATGGACATTGGGCCAAAGCGATTCCAGTTGTTGCATTAACCAAAAACAACGCCCAAATAAATATATATTTAAATTTGACCACAGAGAAAAAATAAAAACAACAACAGGCGGAAATCAACAGCAGCCGCAGCCAAGTTTAAGTGTTTGGCGAGTGTGCGAGTGTGTGTGTGTGTGTGTGCTAGCGTGTGTGCGGTTTTTTGTGTAGCATACGTCACAGGCGCCAATAAGTCCCAACTTGCAAAAGGCGCTGCCTACTTCCAGGCGGCCGCACAAATATAAATAAAATTTAAAGCCCGAAAAGAAGAATAAATAAAAGCACCAAAAAAATACAAATGAAAATTTAGCAAAAATTAAATGCTTTGTGTTAAGCGTGTTAAATCCAAGTGCTTTGCTAAACAGTGTCGAAAAAGAAATAAATAACTAGCATACCGAACACATTCCAACATAGAAAACAGTGCTGCACAACGGAGGACAGCCAGGATTCGGCACTTAAACACGTCTATAAAACGGTAATTGAGTCATAAATCATTCATAATTAAATTGTGGCTCGCTTTGTGTGCCGCTCACTTCGCCACGCGGCATTTAACTTGAAAGAGATTTACAATTTAAGTTTTCAATTTTGGCCATTCGACTGTTGGCTGGAAATTATGACCAGCTAATCTGTCATGCGGCAAGCCGAGCTGATTGATTTGCTGCAAGAACACCTGCTGCGGTGTTTATGGCCCACAATTTGTAGCTGGACGCTTGCCGCCAGTTCAGTTGTCAATAAGCACATTTGCCAAATTGGCAATATCTTGATGCCATTGTTATTGTTCGCTGTCATATTTTTGGGGCCATTTGGTGCATTGTTGACAGCGGCAACAGCACAATTAGCCCACAAGTCGCTCTCTGACCCGATCTGGGTAGGAACTATGCCAATCTTTGGGCTTCGAGTGTTTTGTGCGCGTGCTTTTCGTGCTATTGTTTTTTCTTTTTTTTTTTACATCCAGCCTTCAGTTTGCTGCTTGACATGCTATTTATTTGGGCCAGCGATTGTGATATTTATAGAAATTGGCTGTGATTCTTCAAGTAACACAAGTAACAATAGTCCTCATTGTCGCTTGAAGTTGCACTCAAAATTGATTAATTGGCAATGGAAAAGGACACTACAGACATTCAGTAGGAGAAGCCCAGAAATCTGAATTACAATAAAATGTTTTGTGTTAAATATTTCAGTTTTAGTAACTGATAACTTTTAAATATACTTTACAAAATCAGAAAGAATAAGAAATAAATAAATCTGAGTCTATATGCTTCACTTGCAAGCTTAGCAGGGAAATATTCCTCAGCATATACTCTATATATATATGTCCTGTATAAATATAGAATAAGAGATTAAAAGAAGTACGAACATTCTGTAGGAACATAATAAAGACTTGCATTATAAAAATATATTATTGAATAAAATGTCTCCGAAACGCCAAAAGCATATATAAATCTGCTTTTATGTATATCCTTTTGTTTATTTCTATACAAACTATGCACATCTGCTCAGTGAAATATATTTAAATATTTTATTTCAATTATATGTGCGGAAAATTATTTTAAGTATTTACAATGAAATATTTCAATATTTACAGATGAGATTAAAAATGCTGAATATTATCAGATAAGTTCTTTAGATATTCGCATATAAATATTTTAAATATTGAAAGGTCAAAATTTTTAATATGAACAGAGAAATAATATTCAGGTACAGAAAAATATTTTGAATATTTACAGATTAATATTTGATGAGACTAAAAATGCTGAATATTATCAGATAAGTTTTTTTAATATGAACAGAGAAAAATATTTTGAATATTTATCGAGTAGTATTTAAAATATAAGAGAATAGAAACTGTAAATATTAACAAATAAATAACTAAAGTATTTACATGTAAATATTTTGATTATTTCATGTAACAATTTAAGGCATTTACAAATAAATATTTCAAAAATTAAATATATTCACAGATAAATAATATTTTAATAATAAGCATAATAAAATATAATATGATATAATATTGAAAACATTTACAGATAAATACTTTGGCTTTGTAAGTCATATTCAAATATATTTTGTTCTGTTAATAATTATATTATACTGTCCCCAATGAAACATTATCAACACGGCCACAGCAGATCTCCTGCTTCAAGAGTCGTCATTTTCTAGTATTCTAGTGAATTTATTCGACGTGACGTACTCGACTTTTAATTAAATATTTATTTTTATGCGAAAATAATGTGTAGACATTAGCAGGCCAAGGGGTAGGGCAGCGGCAGTTGGGTTCACAGGATGTGGACCCCTCGGGTGATGACTATTGTAATTATTTGCCAGGGCGGAAGTGCTTAGTTCATGCATGGGAGACCTGCTGCCGCCTGCCGCCTGCTTAGTCGCTGTGATTAATAATGCTTAATTGCAAGTATTTGCGTGGCTAAAGAAACTGGCAAGTGGAGCCCGCAGCGAGGCTTTACCGTACGGCTGCGACTTGTACTTTTGATTGATTACAACATTTTGTCGCACTAATGCCGAGCGCAACAAGAGCGCGAACTAAGCCTCTTGATAAGTTTTGCGTATACTTAACTTAACACTAAAGATTAGTAGCGCTTAACGATTGATAGCCCAAGCGGCAGGGAATGCCAGAGAGGTGGCCGCCGTAGAGCGACGAGCACTGAGATTGGCGCTCAACTTGGAGGCATGCCCCAAGTCGAGGGCTAATCAACAATTAATGAGCAATTAATATGCAATTTGGGGGCGACATTTTGTGTGTGTGTAATCAAGTGTGCCTTAAATGCATTATTAAATACACGCAGACAACTATACTTGTGCCTGTCTGTCTGTGTGACTTTCTCATGCATTATGCATATGGAATAAATATCGATCATTTGATCAACTTCATAAATTAAATAACATAAAAAGGCCAGCAAACTTTAAATTATTATTCAGCCAAGCGTGCCTGCATAGATTTAATAAAATTAAATACTTTTAACTGAATTATTACGATACGTTTGCAGGCAAGATTAAATCTTATTTGCCTTGAACCACACACATCCACATATATATATATATATATATTTATATAGAAATTGTAAAATATTTCCATCAATTCAAATTGCATGTAAGGCATGTTATAATATTTTATGGCTCGCTTTCAAAAATAAGTTATCAAATTGGTTATGAAATGCGGCATAACGCAATTAATATTTATTTATTTACTATGCATTTTTCTGTGCATTTTGTATTCTGTGTCAACAATGTATTCATTTTTCCACACGCTCTGCAGCTAAAAATAAAATAAATAAATAAATGCATCAAATAAGTAGACGTGCTATATTAATTAAGTTTTAATATATAATAAACAAACTGGCGACAAAAAAACGTAATAAAAAGCAAATAAAATGTGCGAATTTTATATTGAATGAAAATAAAATTCCTACCACAAATATAAACACAAATGAAAGCCTATTGTGTTTTTGGTCAACACGCAAACAAATTAAAAAAAACATTTTCAACATTTTTCTGTAAAAAAATAAAAGTATAATCAAATAATAATTTTTTTTAGCTGCGGTTATGTCGGAGTCAATGATAGATGAAGATGGCAAAGCACGCGCCGCTAAGCTCTTAATAATGGCAATCATAAATCACGGCAATTGGCCTTGTCAAAAGGCGAATATAATGGCTAATGCCGAGGCAACACGCAGCACTTGTCGTTCAGTCCACGTGGATTTCTATCACAAAAAGAATTCGAGCACCAAAAAGTGGAGCACCAAAACAAAAATGTGTTGAGCAAAAACTGCGAAAAGTTTTCTCCTAAAAATATGGTTTGGCTATTAAAAATGAATTAGCTTTGAATTAATTAAGAACTGAACACAGGAATAATATAATTGAAATTAATTATTAAATTAAATTCACGCTCGTGTTATTAAAAACTAATTTATATCAATAAAATATTTAACAGAACAGCTAAAAAAAGAAAATTATTTTCAACTTTTGTTAGCTAAGAAAATAAAGTTTGCTAAATATGTTAAAATAATAGCAAAAAAGATTAAATGAAATGTTTCATCTGCGGCTAATTCCAACTCTAATCTTCCGTTCTTTTCTCGCATTGCTTCTCAAGCTAACTGGTTAAATGCTTAATAGAGAATTCCCTTGCCTCATTTCGCCATTTGGTTGCATCATTTCCGCTGCATATAAACAAACTGCCGCACGTGGCCCCATTAAGGTCCGCCGCGACAAATAAGGGCCAACAGTTGTGCATAATTAAATGAAAAGAAAAATGCGCCCATTTCAGCAAGTGCGACTGCAGCTCTGCAGGCTGTGCATTAATTCGATTGTATTTTCTTGTATTTTTTGTATTTGTTTATGGGGCAATTAGCAAACTTTTCTGGCTGGCTGCATAAAAAGCGTATAAAGTGTTGCATACATTACTGCACAAAAACCCAGCATAGCGCAAGGCTGTGTGTGGGTGTGTGTGTGCGAGTGTGTGTGTAAAGTGCATGCTGCTTGTGCCATGTAATTGAATATTAATCATACGCCAGCGACGACCATAACTCATACGACACGTTGGCCCCGGCAGGTAACGAGACTCGTTCAATGCCATAAAGAACTGCACAATAAAACGAACGAAAAAAAAAATGGGAATTGATGCTCAATACTTGTTGTGTGTGTGTGTGTATCTGTGTATGTGCCTGCCACATTTATGTGTGCAACAGCAAACGCTTAAAAAACAAGCAGCAACAACAACAATGACAACTGTTCGTGTCACAGTGTCTGTTGGAAAGGCACATACACAAAGCGAGAGCCATAAATAAATTTGCTCATATTTCAGCACATGAGGAATAATTAAATTCGTTTATATTGCACATGGGAGCTGCTAACCATGCCCTCCACTTCCACTCTTCCAAAGTCGTTTAAAGGAGCATTTCGCTTTTTTGTTTGCGTTGTTTTTGCGCTGTTGACATTTATAATGGAAATGAATGCTGATGCTGCAGCTGCCATGCCCACGCCACTATTTTTTTTGCTGCCGCCCAATTAATTGTTTTTTGCTGCAGCCCAAAAAATGTTTTGCAGTTAAGGCACAAATTATTACACCGCACAGCAGAGTCGAGATTGTCAAGTTTATGGCACGGTTATTTTACTTCTTTTTTTTTTCTTTTTTTGGGGAGGGCATTTACAATATTGGAAATTAATTAAGGTCCCATTTGTGCGCTGCGCAGCGCTAATTTCAATAACTTTTAATGGCTTTTAATATTAATATATGGATACAGCCGGTTCATATTTTTTGACAAAGAGTTTATCGACGAGCGGCCATAAATATTCGTTAAATTCTTTTGTTATGCACAGTTTTCAAGGTCTGCATTTAATTATTATAAATAAATCAAATATGTTTGGCAGAAATATAGTTTGACACTTAAATTTTAAATATATTACAAAAATCACACTTTTTCTTCTTGTTGTGAGAACATATTCAAATAACTTTATTAACCC